GCTCAGATTTTGCTGAGCGATCCTCCCATGAGATGTCCGGGTAATTGAAGTCACCCATGACAACCATGGTCCTGGAGCAAGCTGCCTCAGCCAGTTCCTGGGCAAACTCCTGGTCAAGCTCAGGACTTTGAGTGGGAGGTCTGTAATAGACTCCCACCATTGTGTCCCCTGTGCCGTGTTCCCCACGGATTTTAACCCAGAGGGTCTCCAGCCGTCCACCCTGGTTGCCAATATCGGCTTGCAGGGACGTGTAGCGTTCCTTAACATAGAGAGCTACCCCCCCGCCCCTTTTCTCTACACGATCCCTCCTGTACAGGGTATAGCCATCTATCCCCGTGGTCCAGTCATGGGTGGAGTCCCACCAGGTCTCCGTTATCCCTATGACATCGTAATTGTTTGCACTGAGGGAGGGACAAGATTAAGTGACTTTTGTAAGGTAACACAGCAGGTGAGCGATAGGGTTAGAACAGAATCTAGCTTTTCTAACTCCCATTCCCCTGACATAATTACTGGTTGCGATGACTACATAAGGAGATAGAAAATGCTTACTATTCAAGAACTGAACCTGATCTGAAGCCACTACAGTAGACTGTGAATCTCTGTTCTGTCTCCCAAACCCAGTTATAACAGTGGTCTTCCTTACCATTATACAGACTTGCTATATGTTCTATCTTTATACAGAACAAGTTGTTAAGGGAGAGCCCATAACATTTCCTATTTGTCTGACATATTCAGCATCCAGTTTTTCTGTAGACACAAACAGGTATCCAAGCTGTGGTTCAAAAGAAAAGCAGCAGAGGCATAAGTCAAGTTGCTGCAGTGTTAAAAAGAGGTGCATATATAGAACATGAATTGCTAAAAGCCAGACAACTTCCTCCACCCTAAACATATGGGGAGGACTTGTTGTTAATGAGAGACAGACCAGCAGCACAGAACCATATCTTGCCTGTTATTTTCCTCTTCATTCCCAGCAGATGAGGTTATAGTTTGGTTTTTTTTCCATCCTGCCTAGTTGTTTGCTGTTGCTTGCATGGGAATTTAGAGTACTCTTATTAAAACCACCTGTAATTTACTGAAGTCATTAATCCCTGGTTGCTAGACTCTGATATAGGGGAGCTCTTTTTCACCCCCACGAACCCTTTTAGTGTGCCATGACTCAACAACAAATATCAAATAATGATGCAGGCACACCACAGAACTCATATCCTGAAACTGGAAAAAAACTGAGTCAGCGAAGCAAAATGGAGAGACAGCATAGTGGAGTAAAAAATAAAATAAAATAAAATAAAATAAAATGTTTCGCAGCTGCCATACTTATTCCTTCATATTCAGATACTTCCAATTCATTAATCCCAGCATAAAAATAAGTATCCAGAGGCCAAAAACTTGTTAATAAAGGGAAGTGAAGTGGTGAACTGCCACTGCAGTATATAAATCATATAAAAGACTGAATGACTTCAATTCAGAGTTTAGAATACCAAAGCCATGATCCAAAGTCAAACATTCAGCAATGGCACCATACCAAACCGTTTCTGTGCATTTAAAGCTTCAGCCCAGCCAGATTAGAAAAAGCAGTTCCCTGCTTCTCTCCACAAAAAGGAGTTAGGCGTAGCACTCTCTTCCATGAATTGAAGATTTGCAGGAAAGAGTTGAACACAAACTCTTCTGAGTACAGAATCAGTTTTAAACGAATCTCAAGTTTGCTTTATTAGCAGCTGTACCAGGCAGAATCACGAACTCTCTTACAAAGGGGGCTGTCACTTTAACAACTCAAGAGGTTACAATCACATAGTAGTAGGTTGATACTATAGGTGAGAGAAGGAAAAGTTTGACATTTACTACCATCTCCCATGACAGGAAGCTTCTGTTATCAGTTATATACCTTCACATCTGGGTTCAAGGGGAAGGATTTCCTATAGACTAGCTCTGAAAATCTGTCTTTTCAGAGTAGTAAGAGAAAAAACATTAGTTCCCCCAATTGAATTTAAAAAAAAAAAAAGCAAATAAAAATGTGGTCTTCCAGATCTGGCTTCCTGTCCCCACCACCTTCCCTTCCTTGACTAAAAAGCATTTTATTTTACTGTCAATTTTCAATCTGCTGCATTACCAGGATTTACTGTGTTCCATCTCCCTCGTAGTTTGAGGGGACACAGACACCAGCAAAATAGATGTGTTTTAGAACCCCTAAGATATCCCCTTTTAACTGGGACATTCAAAAAAAAAAAACCCATTTGCCACCTAGCATAGTCAAGATTTAATCACCCTTGCAGATGTTACGTACATACCTCCCTTCTGCTCTCACGTGATAATAGTCAGCCAAAACATTTCTAAGCAACACCTATTTTACTGGTCTTGACAGGATCCCAGAGACTCTTCTAAGACAGTTAATGCCAAGCCATTTCTTAAAAAGGCCTTAGTACTATTCTACCAGTGATATCAGCAGTAGGATCTCTGCTGCCGATTCAGTGATGGGGTGTTTTACTCCCAGGTTGTTTAGCTTGGACTAACTCCAAGTAGGAAGAAAAAGTGGTAAATTTGCCAGTGTGGCTAGTGGTGCCTTGTTCATACAAGAAATTCCAGCAATGCAATAGCTGGAATGTTTAAATACAGCTCAGCATAGACAAATCTGACCATCTTTCTGAGTAAACCCAACTAGGTTTTGAAGTATGCAACCCCGTCACTACCATTAAGCAGATCACCTGTGACACCTACTTAGACGCTAAACTCCACTGCATGTCTTAGTGGGTAGTTCCTACACCTTTATACCATGTTTCTCCCAGCTCGTTAAGAATGCTTACGAGGGTGCCACCTTATGTTTGTTACAACATCTTGCCATGGGAGGGCAGCAAATGGGAGAGAGCTGTGACTGAGTAAATGCTAACAGCACAGCTCTATGGAAGACACCTTAAAATTTTCATGGGCGCTTGTCAGCAGAGACGCTATGTTTTTCTAAGACTTTGGAAAAGGACAAGAAAAAATGCAAGTAGGTTTTCAGTTTCACATATGAGATGGCAGGTAACGTTTTTATTCTCTCATATACCACATGCAGTTTAGCTATAAGAACAACAAAATACCCTGTAATAGTATAAAGAATATTTTAACAATGTCATTAGCTACCCCACCGTATAGTTCTAAAGTTCACACTTGTGTAGATTGCTTTAATCCAAGAGGGAAAAGAGGTACTGATTGAAATAAATAAGCACAGTCAAAATGATGGAAATGCACAACATGCCCAGATATGTCAGCAAAAAGTAAGAATGAGGTATCATATAAAAAGAACTGTCTGGTTCTGCCCAGTGCTAGGAGTCTGATTTTTCAGGAAAAGTATAGTGACTCAGCATACAGAAAGGTTTTCAAATCCTTTTTGTGCAAACTATTCCTGCATACATATTAGAACGAGAGATTAACGTTCAGTCATCACCGAAATTAGGCTGAAATTTCAGACCAGAAAATCATCTGATCTTCTAGATCAAAATTTTGTGCTGGAATATCATTAATAAGCTTCTAATAAAACTATTACGAGATTGGCTGCTAGCCTTTCTTCAGAGCAAGGCTGGAGACATGTACCCTGATGTTTTAGCATCATTACTTAGTCTACCAGGATCATGTTAATTTAGGATCTCAGAACACCTCGACGCTTTGGCTTCCTCCCCCTACATGGCCTGGAGTGGCATATTGGAATTAAGGAAACATGCAGAAGTTCAACTCATAAAAATCTTAGCATTTTAAGCAAGGAGATCCAACTAAGCTAGAGTTGGACCACCCAGGGTTAGACTGCAGAAACAAGACCAGTAACTAAGACGGCATTTACAACCGCACACAAATATACCCCATACTAACCAGTTTTCCTCCAAGCTGGGCAGCTGAAGACACAATGACCACAACTTGGGTCCTTGCTCTGCCAATCTAATCTGCTTGACAAGAACACAAATGTGGCTATGTTGGGCACCAGAACAAAACGGTGTTCATTCCTTTTTCCTCAATTTTGGTCAAGATGAAAATGCCTCTTTGCCAACACACAGCAAACCAGGGACTGAAAGGCGTCAGGCACTGACTACATGAAACATCAATACTTTCAGCTACTAATCCATATAAACCCAATAAATAATTCATAATTACATATAAATTGTGCACCATGGATGCTGAAAAGTCCTCGAGGGAGACAAGCTCAATAGGCATTCTTTACCCTTTAAGAGCAAAAATCCTTCTTCATAACTAGAACTGTCAATCTGAAAGTCCATGGTCTGCAGAGAAATACTTTAACCTCTACTACATATAGATGCAAGGCTTTATTATGTTCTTATCCAAGTGGCTTTGTACACTTAAGCCACTGTTTGCATCGTAAATGGTAGCTATTCCATTAAGACTAGCTTTTCAAGGGATTCCCTCACACCTCTCCACCTTTCTTTGCGGGTACGTAGTGTTCTTGAATCTAAGAAAGTGAAGTTTTACTCCACAAAGCAAGTCCCTTGCTTTGGCTGAACAGTGTTTTTTGTCTTTGGGAATGTCAAGAAGAGAGTTTAAGCTGAAGCTCTTGTGCAGCAGCTGTTCCCTTGCTGTTCCAGACTCTAATTCCCAGTTTCTTCCTTGATGTTTCAGATGCACAGTTTTCAAACAGGCAGGAGCTCCGGGGGATACTCTCCGTAGCAATATTTTGCAATGGGGTCTCTATAGGTGTTTTCATGCTGCACACTCTGTTGGGAAGAGAGGGAGAAGCTTTAGGAAAACACAGGCTTGTTAAAAAACACCTCTCTAATGTAAGAATACCTTATTCCCTTTCCATAAAGGGCAGTAAACAGTGCTGTTTATATGCTGTTGTGCTCCCCCACCCCCAAGATACTACCATGGTATCAAAAATATGAGTTTACAACATTACAACACACAGCTATAGACCTGTAGCCAGACACCGTTTACTGGAAGTTCCCAGGCAAGTTGCACTCAGATTGCTTGAGTTCCCAACCACCTAGGTATGCAATGCCAGGTTTTTGCCCATGCACATATACTAAGCAAACTCCATTAAACAAAACACAAATACAATAATTTGTAGTAGGTGAAACCAGAATCAAGACACTGAAGCAACCCACCCTCAAGCTTTAGGGGTCATTTGAATCTATACCCTTAATTTATGATTCATATCTAGTGTGTAGTATTAGTGTTTGCTTTGATACAAAGCACAGGGATTGTCCCTATCGACACCTTCCTATAGGTTGACTGTTTTGGTTGGAACAAAGCTACAGATAACCCCGCTGGCTTTAAGATTTGTGGCTTTAATTATAGATACTCAGCTTTTGTTTATTTTTAACATCAGTTAAAAATACTACAGTGAGCAGATTTACACTGGTGATTACCCAGATGAATGTCAGCTCATGGGAATCTAACATGGTACTACCAGGTAAATAGTCTCTGAAGCTGCTAGGAAAAAAAGCACACTTGTCCTCCCGCATGGCTCCCTCTCTCCCTCAAAAGGGACTGGTAACTCATTAGGGTAAGCAGAACTGTAATTGGTTGGTTTCATTCCAGTCTAGTATTCTTTATGCTGTGTATCTCTAAGTAAAAGTCAGCATCTACTTCTGTAATGCTCAGAGTGCTTTTTGTGCCTAGTTTAGAGACTGTCTCCCCTCTTTTTCAGACAATACCCAAAGATCCATATCCTAAGTATGTGTATACATGAAGATTTAGATATTCACAGCATCAATTTCCCTTTCCCAATCCCTTTCTTAGATACTTTTTGACTCCTCCTTTTTCTACGTTCCACTTCACACTGGACATGCTGTTGCATCTGACCTGTGATGAAGTCCTGCATTTGGCCAGACACAACTCAAAGTGATCTTCCACAGCCATGAAGAGGTTCTGGAAAGCTATAGCTGCCCGGTTCAAGAAACGCTCAAGAAGATGTTGCTGGGAAAACCAGGGGGAGAAAGAAAGACTAACATAAGTTACTTAAGGAAGTGGAACAGGAAAAAAAGAGTAGATTTTTTCATTAACTTGTAGAAGCAATTAAGGCTACAGAAGAACAAAGGCACCCAATACTTCTCGTTCCCTTGGTTTTTTTAAACGTCTACTATGAATATCTCATTTTTTATAATAGAACACAAGGCATTTGGAACTGTGCCCGGTTCATGAAATACAAGGAAGCACTGCAAAACAGAGTCAAAATAGCATTTAAAAAATAGCAATAATGAAAATTTTGCAACCAAAGAACCACAAAGGATCATTCTGTGGCCAAGACACTTAACTGGGAACAAGGAGATCTGGGTTTGTTTTCTGACACTTAAAATCTTTGTGCCTTGGTTTTGCTTTCATGTCCACTAGGAAACAATTACATTTCTCTTCTGGGTAAGGAATGTTTTTAATCAGTTGCAACAATGATAGCGGCTGTAAACAGATTGCAATGGGTGTGCGTCCAGGCCAATGTCCCCTGCTCCTGGGAGGAAATGATTTGCATTATCCTCCACAAATTTACTCAGCCATGAAGAAACACACCCATGTTGCTGTAATAAACAAAAAGCATGATATACTAAACTCTCCTGAGTTTCATTCCTACCAGAACCTCTGGATAAATGTTACGGGCAGCAAAAGGAAAAATCCTTCCCTTGAAAAATCTGAAGGACATTGAGAAGATGCAAATTTTATTCCATGATTGATCTGAGCTGTGTCTCATTAAGTGAAGTACCAGAACATCATGATGGCCTGGAGGCATAACTGCATTCTCTAATGGTGCATCTGCTGGCATCCTACATGCATGACAATGGCTTACTACTAAGCATCCACGAAGATAATTAAGAATTTCACCTGAAATGGGAAGCTGCAATAGCATTTTCTAGGCTAGGAGGTTAAATATTAATATAAGCTATTATTACAGCTCGCTAAAGGGGGAAACCTCCCCCCAAAAAAACAATTTTGAAGGAATCTGTCCCATTAGAAAAATAGAGTTTTGCTGAAATTGAAAGGGTTTGTGAAACTGTGCTAGTTTTCTAAAGTTTCATTTTGGGGCATGGGTTGTAGGGCAGAGGATGGAGGGGAGAGTAGTGTTTACAACTTCGAAACATCCCTTTTCAATCTTTTCAGAATGAAATTCCTCAGTTTTTGTTCTGACACGACTAAGTTTTGAATGTTTAAATATAGAAGAAATAAGCAAAAGCTAAACTCAACAAAACATTGTGACCAAACTACATTTTCCTCTCCTTTCTGTTCTCATTATATAATATAACAAAACATAAAATTCATGGATTTTGTAATGGAAAAAGACAAATGTCAAAATCGTTCACAAAACGTAATTTGTCCTCTGCAGAGTGCTAGTTGCTATACAGTATTTATAGGACAATCTGTTATGGGTTGTCACAGGTTCTCTCAGTTTACAGGTTCCCCTGTAATGAATACACTCCTAATTAATTAAGATCCTTGGACACTAAGCTATATAAGCAAACTAAGAACATATGAAAAACAAGAGAAACTCTGGGCACCTTGTTAGGCTGCAGGCAGCAGGAGACGCAGTATTCATACACACTGCAGCAGCCGTTGGGCAGGCAACTTTCACAGCTGTACAGTTTTGTGTGAGGCACGTTGACATTACAACAGCCATTCACCAACAGGTCTTTCCTTTCACAGATGTAGCCTGAAACACAAAGAATAGCCCTAAGCAGCATCTACTCCCCAGCATCTCTCACAGGAGCAGGCTCATGCAATGAAATGGTGCTGTAATAAAGAGTGCACATGTGTAAAGACTATGGTATATGTAGAATCCTATCATTCAAGAACAGGTAAGCCTGAGGATGTCTTATTCTGATTTATATCCATAACCAACTTGACATTTGCCTAACAGGAACTTTTTTATGATGTGATCTGTAAGCTGTTTCGAGACTAGGATGTCTCAAGATTCAGCATCTCCTACATTAGTATTGCATAGTCATATTATATATACACATTGCACATAATGTAACACTAAAACGTGTTCTCTAAATGATGAAAGCTTCCAAGATTTTGCACAATCCCTTACTGTGGGAAGGAGGGGAAAGGAAGTACAGTAATTACATGTAGCACCTGCTTAGGTTAATGTTATTTCCATTCTCAATCTGAAAAAGAGCCTGATTATATACATAACATTGACAGCACTCAACATTAGAAGGATTCTTAACTGCATGTGTCCAGAATTGCGTATACCTAGTGTTTCTGGATATAAGAAGAGTAATCCTAACTTTACTCACAAGTAACTAAATGTCTAGGACGGCTCACTTCAGTTTCTATTTGTACATCCCACAGGTTACCACAGAATTTTTGCATGACAGGGAATCTGTGGTCAAGAAAGGCCCAGCACTCAAGTAAGAGGCATATGATGCATCAAAGTCTTTCAGAAGCATGTACGGTGCTTGGCTGCTTTTAGTGTTGCCCTCTGTTTAAGGAAAATGACTAGCTCATTCTGAGTGCTTTTGAAATCTAAACAATAATAGTAATATAAAGGTGACGTGATCGGTCTCACGTGGAAATACTATGTTCTTCCACAAGTTCACACACATACACACTAGGAATATCAGAGTCTCTGGAATAGTGAATTGATTTTTGCAACTTTTTGTTGCCCAAACTTCCCTTAAACAAAAAAAACGGGGGAAAAAAGCCATGCAGGAACTGCTCAGGCTGTCAGACTTACCAGGGTTGGTTTGTTTTTACATTCTTTCCTCTCTATGGCCCAGATTCTTAGTGAGTAGTAGTGCCTCCTATTGAAATGAGGCATATTCACAAATGGCACCAACTACCTCAGGTATGAATTTTGCAAACAACTTAACAGAATCCCAGAGACAGCTAGAGCAACTTACTTCACTGGGAAACAGTATTGTGCCAGGATGCAAGACATTTCCACATTGGTGTAATTCACATCCATTTTCTACACTGATGTAAATTACTTCGGGATTCCAGGCAGACAATGAGCAGCTTATCCCAGGGCGGCAGACTTAGTTTAGGCTACTGTTACCAAACCTCTCCATTAGGTTCCAGGAAGCAGATAAAAGCACGTTTGTTTTGCACAAATGATTACTCCTGGGTGAGCCGCAGGCACAATGCACAGACCTTGCTGTAACTTACACCAAAAGTACCATATACTAATTCTACACTGAATTAGATAGAATTACCCTGGGGTTGGGGCTTAAATCATCTGTTGGCTATGTGTGCACACAGCTGTAAAACATGTCAGGTATCCATAGCCTTCTATTCTCATGAAGGAGCATTTCAGACATTACCCAGAGCAAAATAGTTTACTGTATAAAGTTTACTGTATAAAGAATGCATTTAGAGTAGAGGGACTGCTACTTGAAAATCGCAGCAAAGACCTAAAGGTAGGCAAAGCCATCAGCATCGTGGTCTGCACAAGAGAGTCTTTTCAGTAGCCTTACCCAGTTCATCTGTAATGAGGAGCTTCCCTTGGACAGAATTCCTGCACTGGTTACTCAGCTGACTGCTGTTTCCCAAGCTGAACTGCACCTTCCATACAATGGGCTGCTCATGGTCCTGTACCTGAAGGAGGTTTCGATCTCGTACTGACCTTTCTTCCTGGCAATGACATAGAAGAATGGAGGTGAACATGCAGATTCCTTCTCTTACTTCATTCTGCCAAGTGTGCAATTCATAATCATGGAAATTAGAGCTGGAAAGGATGTCAGGAGATCATCTACTCCAACCCCCTGCTCAAACAGAACCATGTACTTTGCAATCCCACATAAACAGAAGTTTATGTTTGCAACAAGAGGAAGGTCAGGGAAAGGGTGGGTCCCTTATTGAATGGGGGAGGCAACCGAGTGACAGATGAGGAAAAGGCTGAAGTACGCAAAGCCTTTTTTACTTAGGTCTTCGCAGGCAAGCTTAGCTTCCAAATTACTGCATGGGGCAGCACAGTTTTGGGAGAAGGTGAGCAGCCCTCAGTGGTGAAAAGAACAGGTTAGGGACCATTTAGAAAAGCTGGATGTGTACAAGTCCATGGGGCTGACTGCACATCCACTGGCCATTATCTTTGAAAACTTATGGCAATTGGGGGGAGGTCCCAGACTATTGGAAAAGGGCAAATACAGTGCCCACCTTTAAGAAAATTAAAAAGGAGGATCCAGAGAACTACAGACCAGTCAGTCTCCCCTCATTCCCCAGAAAAATTAGGAGCAGGATTTCTAAGCACTTGGAGAAGAAGAAAGTGATCAGGAACAGTCAGCATAGATTCACCAAGGGCAAGTCATGTCTGACTAACCTAACCACCTTCTATGATGAGATAACTGGCTCTG